GTCGGATTGGATCGTGTGTTTGGCTATTCAACCATGTCCGTCCTACTTCATTTTCAGTTTCACTTTTCTAGAAACTCTCACTGAATTTTGGGTTTAATCTAATCAGTATCTTTGTCAGAGAAACACTGAACAAATATGGTTTTAGGCAGTCGGCCAGGCATAAGTGGTACACCCCGTTCTGATTCTAATACGGAATGCTGTTGCTGTTGGCACAGACTTCCAAAGTCCTTTTTCCTTTTGGTCCACATGCGGATCCCAGCACATGGTCATCTGGTCAAAGCCAAGAGGTGTACTTTTATCCATGAATGAATAAGGCTGTTAGTTCTGTGAGGAACTGACCATTTCATCACCAGTGGAAATTTGGAGCAGTGCCCTCTATAAAGAAACAAAAGGTAGATTCCAGGGGTCCTTTGTTGAAAAGAAACTGCATATTACTCACAGTGATGTCAAACTGCTCTAGGGAGGCAAACAGAAATAGCGCAGTGAAAACAAAGTCTTGGGTATCGAAATGATGTTATGCTGCAAACTAACACTATAATATGTTAACATTGTTTTGGTATCATAACAGCTAATTTGAGATTTTTTTATCATATTGATTGATAATGGATATATGTGACCCGTGCTGGCAAAATGAGTCTGAATGCGCATGGTCTAATATTGAGCTACAGGCAAAACAGGTGAAAAATGAGTTCATTAAGCCCTCTTCTAGTGATCCCAATGCTTCAAATAGTGATCTTTATTTATACGTCTAAAATGATCTTTATTTACGTTTTCTGAGAGGGAGTACCTTTTTCTCTGCTCACTTCTGGACGACTGCTTCTGCTTCTCACCACAAGTTGTAGGATATATCGTTGCAAAGCACAGCATTCCAGCTTTATGAATATTCATAGCGAATTCTGTATGACATGAGTCTGAACCAGTAAAATATGATTTTCAAACCCATGCTGATGAAAACAAAACGATCGCGCTGACTGACATTTGTAAGAGCGCGCGATCTCCCTATAAAGTACATTATTGCGAAATATATCTTGGCGAGATTCACACAAGCATAATCTGTTATGTCTTACATGAACGTTTAGTTAATGGTTGGGGAAAAATCTGATGTGTAACATTATATTAGATCCATGCATTACAGTAGGTCACAATATTGATCTGTCTCGATGTCGATCGAACATTAAAAGAAAAGACGGAATCATTCGCTACTCTTGATTAAACTACAGTTTATTTGCATCTTTGTATCTTATTTGTAATAACAAAGATAAAATAAAAAACAGCTATATTGTGATTAATAATATAGTAATTATTATTAAGAAAATAATTGGAGGAAAATATGCAAGGTTGCTCTGTGATTTTGCTTTGGAACCTTCAGAAAACTTAAACTCGATTTTTTCTCAATATTGACTTTGCTGACTCTATCACCTTCAAACGGCGGTAGCTCAGTCATTTTTTGTCCGATTCCAACAAGTTATATATCATTTTGAAGGTATTTTTATGTAGAATGTGAAAATGAAGTGAACTCATTTTTAAAAATTTGCTCATTCCGACTCATTTTGCCAGCACGGGTCACATATATCTGTTGATATTGTATATTTAATTGTACATTTCCCTATTTTTACATTTAGATGTAAACACTGTTGAATGGGATCTTTAGTAAATCTCAAAATGAATATCCATTTCATTAGGTTACATGAAGTACATTTGTAGCATTTAGTTTAGTTTAGAGATTTTTTTTTCTTTTTTTATTTAACTTTTAACCTAAGAATTTATGAGGGTAAGGATTAAAAGTCTATATATTTCTAAAATAAAAACAAATAATAATAATAATAAGATAATTTAAAACATTTGAGAATAAAATCTCTATAAAATACAATTAATTTAAAACTACATATAGAATTTTTTATTTATTATTATATATATTATATATTTTATTTTGTCCCCAAAGTAAAGTGAACCCAAACACATCTCACTCTCTACTTTAAAACTTATTCAATTTTGGTCGGAACAGGGTCCAAGAAGTTAAAGGGGTCATATGATGCTTTTTTAAAGATCATTATTTTGTGTATTTGGTGTAACAGAATATGTTGACATGCTTTAATGTTCAAAAAACACATTATTTTTCAAATACTGTACATTATTGTAGGTCCTCTATGCCCCGCCTCTCTCAAACGCTTCGTTTTCTACAAAGCCCCCTCCTT